TATCATGCAAGGAGACAATTATTGAATATCTTTTAAAATCTTACCTTCATGTTTAACTCGAATGTTCTTTAAGGTGACTTTTCCGTGTGAATTCTCTATCCCAATGTTCACAGATTATTCTTTCTAAAAGTAAATATTCACAGTACACAACACTGAAAGTTACACGTATTTCATAACTACGAGTCATACAAATCGGTCACTGCAATCATAAATCGAATCATCTCAATTAACCGGAGGTAAGCTATCGTAATACAATAGCAAATGAAGAAAGTGACGTTTGGTTACAACACTCGTCATATTGTTGACAGTGACATTCGATCATGTGAAAGACTGTGTACAAAATCACAAAATACACCTTCAAACTGAATTTGCCAGCTACTAGACTTCATAATTTGCATTTATATTAACCGTTTCAATACATCGAGACAGGCTATGAAGATGTAATGGACAAATTAACAATAGGGTCAAATTGAACTTTCAGTTTTCAAAATAACTGTCTACTACACACACACACTCAACAAAATAATTGACCGTTGTATTTCACGGCAGTTAACCAAACACCACAAAGATGTAAACAACCTTACAAATATGGAAATGTGAATACCTGGCGATAACTAACCGACTGGTGGACGCGCAGGATTAGTTCAAGTGTATCGCAAGACTCTTATTCTCAGCTAATCGGTCAATATTTGCTATCATTTTAAACGACATCTCAACCTGTCTAAATCACCACCAAACAGGGGAACGCACATCTGGAAATTCCTCTGTATCATTGTCAGTCAGAAATATGCAGTAATAATGCCAACATAGAAATGAAATGCAAATCACCAACAAACTGTGGGATTTGGTACAAAGCTATTGTTGGGAATCAAAGAAGTTTGTCATATCAACTGGAACTCAGCCGTTCCCCTGTCAACGACCCACTTGTTTATCCCTGCAGATTGACGAAATATCAATGTCTCACTTATTGTTCTACCGACCGCGAAATCCTCCCTTCTCTCCATACAATCTACCAGTTGAAAACTCGTTTCTTATTGTTTCGTCGCGATGAAAATTTTGAGAGATCCTCAATGTACATTCCTAGACTTCTTCAATAGTGTAAGTAAGCAAGAATATTAGCTGCTCATCTACACAACACTCTTTTACGCCACTGCCTGAAGCAGTCGAACAGACAGGTAATCGTGCTCCAACCTGTATAATGCGGCTCAGCTAATTTTCAAAGCATACGCGTTAAACCAGCCTTAAATACAGTCAAGAACTATCTCTCATTGCATTAAGGTGACTGTGTACAATAAATGAATATGCGTCACTCACAACTTACAGATTGTACTTTTGAGGCCAGTGATCCCTGTGAACGAGTACATGGATGGCTTTAAATTGGTGAGACCAAGGCTACTGTCACAAGACAAATTTTAAATATATCCTAGTAAGAAATGCCTACATCTTCTGTTAACCTGACCGTATTTCCTGACTCTACAGGATGGTCATCTTAATGAAGACTGAGAAACCCAGCGTGACATTCTAAACAAAATTATCCCGTTTCTCATTCTAACGCTTCAAACGCTGTTCTGAGGAATATACTGACATTCTCTAGAATCAGTTACATCGACTCTGATTGAGTTCTGCAAGATAAACCGTGCGCTATAAAATCCTGAACAGCTGATCCGCGTCCGCAATACAGCGGATGCAAATTGGTTGGAGATGGCGAAATTATAAGAGTTGCAATTCATTAGCCACTGAACTGTTACCAAGTGACTGGATTATTAGAGTGTTTGTCTTGCAGCCTGAAGGTCCCTGAAGGATGCACGCAGCTGAATAGTCTCAAGCTATGACAAATCATCTGCTCAGTGCTCCGTGGTTTCCTACATTCCTCCGAATGATGTCGGTTTGCGATGCTTTCTACATGGAAATCCCGATTTTGATCATCTTTTGGGAACTGCTTGGAGTAAATTGCCGAAATCAACGTTGTAATCACTCATAAACATGCCAGAATATAAACAGAAATATATATGTGTATATATCGACCGCTATCTATCTCAAGTTTTCGCATTGACTATTACTTCTGAATCTGTTTTCCTGTCAAGGACTTCTCCAAATTTTGTTGCTGTGGGAACTGCCGGACTCGTTGTTTAGTGTGGAATATACCCGTTAGATATGACCAGAGGTCGTATGCTATTAAGGTTGAGAAATTATCCCCAGTTTTGTACAGGAGATTTCCTAAACTCATAGATCCTCAGCCTCCCCTATAACCAGTAATCCCTTTCAGCTTCGTATGTCAGTTCATACTTCACTACACGTGGTCAAATGAACCCTACTACTGATGGTGTCTTCTCGCTGGAAATCCAGCAACTTCATCCCCGCCCTAATCGAATACAACCACTCACTAAGACTGAGTGAGTTCCACTGAAGACTTCCGAACTAGAAGGAAACAGCTGTACACTAAGTACTCCTCGACGCTAAATGATTTTACAACCGATGTCAGTGCTTGATGTAGCCGGAAGCCAGTCGAATTGTATCTACATATACCAACCACTCGGGAAGCAAAACAATCAGAAACACTTAGCCCTTTCACTGATTCCATTCAATTGTATAAAATAATTCAAGGAAAAACAACATTGAAGCATAAAAATACACAGAGATTATTCGACACCACTTACACGAGCCTTCTTCGGTGGGGAACAACAAGATTCTGTCGTCGAAGTGGTCAGTTGATTTTCCCATATATGATACAGCTGTTTCGCTATAGCGTGTTCCCGTGCATCGTCTCTGTGCTTCATTGTGATGCACGCGAGTTCTTTCAGCAAACGGTTAGTGAAAATCAATCTTGTTGTAATCACTCCTTCATTGAAATCCTTTTTAATTGGACGTAATAATCCATCAACCAACTTCTTCAATCCGCGTAATGTTAGCCCATATCTGTTGAGGTAGAATATTTCAAAAAATAACGCTGGATAAGTAATGTCGTCTAGTGAAATATTAACACAGAAAAAGAGATTTTTATCGTTAACATCATGAGAATACAACATGGAAATGGACAATAGTGTTTACAAGCGCCGGAGTCTGAAGAGTCGACGGCTTGCCTCAGCAACCCTGATGAATCATTTACTATCAGGTGTTATTTCGCGAAGGTTTGATTGGTTACGAGATGGGCGCACCAGCTTCGATCAGTTAGAGAAGCAATGCGAAAGCTTAGTGCACTGTACAGCTGTCTCGTCCTAGTTTTGGGCTGTTCAGCGACACACACACACCGCCAGGCTTCGAAGCCAGGACCCTTCCACTGCAAAGCCGGCTCCCACACCATTGTGCCATTGCGATCCCAAACAATGTCCCATGAATTCCAACTTCGCCAATTCGTGATTTATGCATATATAAATATAAATATATATATATACATATATATTTCACTCAACCACCAGCAAGTGTCACAGGCATTTCATTCAGGTAGCCTATTTCGATTGCAATACTACAGAGGTGACCTAGTTCGTCTCCTAATCAATAACTGTAGCCCATCCTCTCCACCTAATTCCTCCGTCTTATTACCAAATTTCACTTTTCAGCATACACTGTCGCACAAATCTGGTCTTCTCCTGAGTGGGCCAAATAATCTCCCACCCTCCAGTAGAACATCTAGAAAGTGGAATTTGTCTCAGTGTTCTTCTTTACAAGTGAAAATCACTCATGCATGTACATCATCAGATTTATTACTTATTAGACAAACAGCTCATTCTCGTCACTTTTCTTAATCAAGAATATCTGCATCACCAAAATAACGACAATATGACTCCAGTATACATACGACATGTTTCAACGCACCAATTTATAACTCGACGAGGGAACACTATCCCAAAAATTACACCTAATACGGATTCAACAGTACTACTGTCGATTTTGTTCCATGCTAACTAGACAATACTGAATGTGGAATACACTTCCATGGTACACCTTCGAAGAAATTCCTTGAGGATGATAACTGCAATGTCAATATCAATCTACATTTCTTATATCCTTATCCGATGGCACACGAATTCCTCTGTCTGAATCACTGGTACACTCATGATTGAACGGTGATAAGCGACGGGATTTAACTGTTAACTGACAGATTGGTGGTTGGTGCCCACCTGAGGGCACTTGGGATTTGTGTGGAGTCGTAGGTCATTCAATAATCCGAGATATCAACTCCCAACTAGTCGTTCATGAGATCTAACGCAGATCCACCCACACAGTCGCAGCTGTGGCTTCCTGTCAACTACATGAAACTACTCGCAAGTTACTACTTATTCAGTGACACTTCATATCTTTCCAACAGTGATGATGATGATGATGCTGATGACGATGAACTGTACGCTGCTTCACTTTTACATTATCATCACCATAATTATTATCAACGACAAAACTGATTCATTCCATGAATGATTTCATACATTGCATAACCTATTCTGTTATCAGTCAGTATTCAACTGTTATACAATTATTATTGCTATTATTATTGTTATTGTTATTATTAGCATTACTATTACTATCATCACCATTAACATCAACATTATTGGCGAGTATTGTATTTTTCGGTATTTCCCACTGTAACGACATTGGAAAAACAATTTTCATCGAGAAGATTCTTCTCAGCGAATTTATTATCAAGCTGTACAGTCAATCTGAAAATATGCGAATTCGTTAACAACTCCATCCCGTGCAGTAACTCAAGCAATACGTTTCATATTGTTGAAATTCCCTGTTCACATTCTCCACCTAAGAATGTATGTGGTGTAGGTAGGCAATATGAACAAAACAGACTGTACTCTTATGCCACATTCACCTCAATGTCTTTGTTGTCCATCATGTAATCACTCCTCAACAGGTGAGAATGTGTGTCATATGTTAGAAAGAAACTCTCACTGTAAACAAAGCTCATTTCAAAGACCTAACTAAGCCAACAATTGACATTTGCTGACACAAAGTGACACTGAAACTGGATAATCAGGATACAAAACATTCACACTCACTTGTGGCCTCCATTCTCTTTCTGCAGCATATTGACAACTGCCTCACTGTCATTTAAAAGTTGCGTAGCCCAGATACGCCAGTCGCTGTCTCGAGAAACACCATCAGAAAGTGTCGCATTTGACGACGACGACGACGAAGACGACGGATCTGGATCTTGGAATGAAGAAGAAGGTTGAACAATCACACATACACCAGGTTGGTTACTTTCTAACTTTCTACAGCTCTGACTGTTTTGACGTCTTTCTGTGGATGCACTATTATTATTTAATTGATTAGACATTTCAGCTGCTATATTTTCAGTCGTGAAATTGCAATATTCCTCTGTTCGAACTGACTTAACCAAATCACTGTTGAACAGAAGAAAACATTGGGAACAAATATTGAAATGTAAGCCTGAAATTAATGGTGCACAAAATAGCTAGTACATTATCTCCACAACCAATGATGATGATGATGATGATATCCTGTTAACAAAAACACTGACTGTGAGTAGAGTAGAGTTCATTCTGCTCTAATCGCTCACTAGATAAGAAAACACCGAATTCCAAATTCTCTAAACCCTATCTAGAAATAATGAAGACGAAGAGTGAGACAGGGCGAGTGATACGCGGACAAAGCTTCAGCATACGTCTACACCACAGAGATGCGTACGTGAGAAAATATCTCCTCCCATCATCAGTGACACGAAATATTCAATAATTCACTTCACTACAGGTATTTTTATGTACTGCTAGGCTAATCGACCAGCTACATATTTTCCAAGCAATATGTTACACTATCTTTCATACATTCTGAAACCATCTTTCTGTCCACCCTGAATGGCATTCACCTAGCAATCAACTTCAATGAAGCTATTACGACTAGTGGTATGTTCAAAAATACATAGTATTCTTTGTTAATGCAGTATATAACCGTGGGAAATGTATTCTGTCTCTAACATCAAATAGAATCTTCAAATGGATGTATTGTATTCTGTTGCTAATGCCGAATTGAACTGTGGGAATATGTGAGAATAATATTACGTTGGCACACATTGTCTGTATCACACCACCACACCACTACTCCACTTAACCACAACGAAGCTAATAAACTAAGCTCCGAATCCGGCTGAAGATGCAATTCACCAATGCATATTCTAGTTGAATTCTTACCTCATAGGCCAAAGAAATCCAAAAATAATAATGATATATCAGTCAACGTTGAAGGGAATGATAGATCAGAGGATTCTTTCTCCATTCACATTTCGTCATTTATTCAGACAGACAAACTTGATGAATGTAAGTGTTTGACTTGAGTGACACAGAACACGTCCTTCATGTGCCAGGCAGCCACACACACACACACACGACTATTGTGTAAGGTATAAGTATAAAACTTCGGCACTTTCGTAGACTATAACTTCATTATGGATGGAGTTGTTTTCTGTAGGGGTTGATCATTCTACTGCTTCTAATACTACCCAGTAGTAGATGTGGCGGAATTCGAACCCAGGATGTTTCGCCTGAAATCCGAATGTTGTATGAGCCAATGAACCAAGTCGCCATTGTCTGTCTTCAATCGGATATCATCATCATGTCGGCGTTGATGGTGTACTAGGCGTGCCTTCATGTTCGATTCTACGTGTGCGTGCGTGTGTGTGCTTGTACTTGTGCAGCTTATCTTGCAGTTTGACTGAATTGATTAATGCCTTGGGTTCTAGAATGCAGCATTCATTTGAGGCGGGCGTATTTGTGTTGAGGATTGATTCACTTTCGATGATGCTATTATGATTGTGATTGTCACTGCCCATATGATTCTCTTTATCCGAGTGTGTTTATGCGTGTGTGTCTGTGTGTATGTTTGGGACGTGTTGAATTGCTTCACTTTGAATGAAGTAGAAAAGCGGTGATACATATATAAATGTCAAGGTAGTATCATCATCAGTCAACAGAGCATAAATACTGCTCATCACCCGATACCGGTTAACTCACGTCTATATACAACCATTATGAGACATGATTTGTCTATTCAATAGGATGCAAGAGAATAACTACGATGAAGCCTATTTCTAAACTGCCTCAGAACCATCATCCTGTATTCGACAACTAGACTCATCATAGTGATTGATGATTGGGGTTTGTTAATCCACTGACATGGAATCAATTTCTCCCATCACACTGTTTGACAGTTACAAATCTTCCATTCTACTCTTCTGACTTGCTGTGTTTACTTATACATATATGCATACATCCATACATTCATACATACTGACTGACTGACTGCCTGGCTGCCTGACTGACTGTCTGTCTGTCTGTCTATCTATCTATCTATCTATCTCAACAAAGAACTTCTGCACAGCATTGAGTACAGTACTTCAACTTGACACACAACTCACTCCGTATACTATACAATGGTAGACAATGCAACAGAGTAAAAACAGAGACATTCAAACAATTCTGATGGACAGAAATGTACGTGAGAAAGAATAGTAATATGGCAGTGCATGACGGTTTAATGGATCTGGGAGATTAGATTACAACGAGTGAATGCATCACAACGTCTCCGTAGGTATAATGCTGTACAGGGAAATCGGATTGCGCTGCATCAAAATGACGTGAGTATTGTGAATATATATATGTATATGTTTACACTGACTTATACTTACGATTTATCCAACTCGAAGTTGCTTGGTCTCATACTTGACTCAGCATCGGAGACTTCGAATTTGCCTGGTAAATTACCTGCCGAGTAGGAAAGCAATGGAATTCTTGTGATGACTGTTAGTCCACTACAATACAATATGAAATACAAATGTTTTATAATTGACCAATCTTCAGGGGTCACAGTGTGTTTGTGTGCTCAAAGACAGTTCAATAGCCATTGTGTGAGACGTCTGAAATAAGCGGTGGTGAGACTATGCAAAGACAAAGACGGGTAACGCCATCCTTCCCTCTTCCAACGGACCTGCCCAGACAGACCGCACACATACGACACTCTACTGGGACCCAGTCAAGGAGTGATTCTAAAACCCTAATATTCAACGCTATTCCTACACCTGTGAGTCCTCGCTGAGGATTCTCCTGACAGCCTTAAAGTGAATTTCGCAGATCCACCTTGTTGGCCGGGTGAGCTTTAGTGAATAACCAAACACACCCGGGTCTTGTACGCGTGTCTCAGAAACACAACATACATCCATTGCTTGAGATGCCAGAATACTAGCTAATGACGCCTCATGTCCGATCTGGTGAAGGTTCCTGACGTGAAATACTCCAGAGAACAACTACCTGAGGCTGGTTGGTCACACACAGCCTGTCCGAACTGACATTTAGCTTTGGTTTCGCAACAGTGACTCAACGCCAGTTACGGATCACACTAGGGTAAGTCGGATGTCGAAATCTTCAGACCGACCTATTCTAACCCTCCCTTGTCAGAGTGCACAGACAGCAGAGCTGGCAAATTGAACAAGGAAGGTTCAAACCACACGAAGTGACGCCAGATCAGTTAAAGTGGTTGATTTTTACTTGTGGTTTCAAGAACCCAGAAGATGCTGTCATAAGAACTCGACTTCCGTTACTCGTGAAACAAGACCCGAAAATGACTTTACAAACGGTGACAGCAAAATACCAACGCTTCATCAACTTGAAGTACGACATTTCCATGATGGAGTGCGAACCACGGTCGCCTGAATTCGGTTCAATTAACACAGTGAAAACTCCTTCGATCACCTTTAAGCACACAGCACGCCAGTCTCGAAATTCAGCTAAACCTCCGTCAGTCTGCTGGTACTGTGGTTCATGGCATTTTGTCAAGTTTTGTCCTTTCAAGAAACATAAATGCTGCAAGTGTCATCGTTTTCGACATAAACAGGGTTACTGTCCACCACAGAAAAATTCCTCGGTGAGTAAGAGAAGAAGTAGTCCCCTCAAGACGAAACAATCTCCTCGGGTACAGACCATTTTCACAACTTACAGAGTCCATTTCACCAACAAACGCAAGTACACTACGCTATCTATTAACAGCAAACCTATTCGTCTTCATTTCGATCTGGCATCAGATGTCACCTTAATTTCCCGAAACACGTGGCGCACACTTGGTTGTCCACAGAAAAGCTTACACTAAGCCGCTAACCGCTTTTAGTCTAGTCCCTACCTAAACAATCTTCCTGCCATCTTCGGACCTGCAGGAACATTAGTTCCAGCCAGTGTAACTTGTTAGGTCAGTGCGATATGCAAGCTCGACCACCATGTCAAGGTAACAACTATCGGCCGGATGTTTGTTCACCTGACTTAAAATTCACACACATTTCCCAGCATAACGTCTGGAATGAATTAATTCCAGTAAACAGTCTGCAATGAATTCCATATCACTTCTCCAAGTAGTGAAGAAGCTTCTGCTTCAAAACGTGAGAACTCACCAGAACTAGTCTCATCATCAGAGGCATACCGTACAAAGCTTTCATGTCTACATGAACAGTCGTCTCGAGACTCGTCCGTTTCCGTCGAAATATCCTTTGCGTTGTTTTGAGACTCCGAAGGACCTTGATTCCGTCCAAGCAAAGAGAAAATTTGGGATCCAATCTTCGATATTTGACGAAACATTGAAATTAACGCTTTCAATGATATAGGGGAGAAAGATAATAGTGATGATAATAATAATATTAGTGACAATGATACTTATAATAACAATAATAATAATATTAATAATGATAATAATAATTGCAATAGAAGTAGTAATAGTTCGTGGACTCACTATCTACAAATCAGCAAGGAAATGAAAAAGTCAAACAATTACTCGGGAGATTTACAACAAGTTCTCGGTGGATGACTAGTGCTAAGAAACGCACACACACACACACACACACTTGGAGACACACCCACAACCAAGCTAATCATAACCAAAGTGATTCAATCTTTCTCACTGACAGTTATCACACATTCTTTCTGATGGATACAGAATGATCTGTGGGAGCTGCAAGTATCATCACCGTACGGTTAGTCCACACGAACACTACTGGACGTGAAATTGTAATCTCCGGAAACACAACTGTATTGGAACAGGTGTGCAGCGCAAGCTGAGCGCTTCTTATCACAGTCCATCGGAGACAACTTGATTTTCAGATGAATATCTACAAAGGTGTTAGTTTTAACGAACATTAGGATATTTCTTAGCGCATCTTCGCGAAAAGGAAAGACAATGTAAAAATATTCAGATATCAGGAATTCAGAGTGTGTATGTGGTGGGATAGTTCCAGATTCGGGAGGTTTTGTGTTGGGTTTATTTACGTAAGAAGAAGATGATGACCAATGAACAGTCGATTCACTGTGACAACTCACAGTTCACTCTGCATAGACTGTACTCCGAAAGACTG